GCGTCTGCACTGTAGTCTGTCATATGAATCTCTTATGATGTCGATGATCTTCTCAGGTACACAATAGTGCCGAGAACATTTAGTTAAAGTCTCCCTATCCACACTGTCAGACGCCTTCTCACACTCAATTAATCGTTGTTTTTCTTCACTTTACGATATTCGTTACTTCCAGAGTACTTTCAAGTGAATCTGGTATTTCGATATCAACATGATATTATTCAGGCAATAAATTGTTGCAAATAGAATTTAATATATTCTTAATCAAGAAAATATTTTCTGTGTACATTCTTCTAAAAATTCGCCGCAACCTTCGGCTACAAAGGACTCATTTTGATATGTGTAGCAATGCTTCCTTTGTACTTGATTGCTCGCTAATTAAGGATTTTGACTACAATACATTCATTTGTGTTCGTCTATTTCTACCTCCCTTAAACAGCACTATTTCGGAAACTCTTAGTGCAGTATTTCGAATTTTTTTAATTATCGTACTCATGTGTGCTTCGAAGCCAACGTACGTTTTTCCACACTACTTTTCACAAATATAGTGACTCACTTGTAGAATGTAATAATCATTAGTTCACATTTTTATCAACGTCGTAATCTTTTATTGATAGTGATGAATATGAAAATGGTCTAACTTTTTGATGGCAACGCAAAATATATAGTTGTTCTGCAGTAATGTGTTTTGGCAACCAGTTTGTCCCTATTGTATTCCTCCGCACTTTTCCGTCACTTCCTACAGAGTGATTTGGATGTTTGACAACGGTCAGTCGCGTTAGGTGCCTAGTGTTTAGTATATTGTGCTTCCATCCCCCTAACAAATATGAATAATTTATGCACCAAGTTAGCAATTATGTTAGTGATTAAATTGAACTATGATTTTTCCAGTCCGTCTTTCGGTATGCTGAACAACACCCATTCTGAAATACCTAAATCTCAACGATTAACCATAATTAATATTGACCTAATGGTGTTTTATACTTTGATTTTCATAGTAATTTCAATTCATGCCATTGTTTCCCCTTATGAGTTTACATAAGGCCAGAACAAACACAGATGCAGAATAACGTGGATTTATCATATTTCGTGGTATCTCGTCAGCCACAGGTATTTTGTAATGTCTAATAAGTGGCAGTCTAGCCATTCGACCGTATTAATTCTGGTCAATGTGATAGTTACTCTTGGGATCTATGTCTTGTTATCTGAGTAAGTGTGTTTGTCTCAAAACATTAAAGTTTCTGAAACCAGCGGCTATCATACTACCGGGCAGGAATCTATCAGTGCTGTGATCACGTTTACTGCAAGAGCGTTCAAAATAGACGTGACTATTGATGATAAACATTGGGAGGGTATAAGGTTTCTGCTCCCTGATATGTAAGTGACGTGGCACAGTTAGTATGTTATTTGCGATTATTGTCCTATAGCTCGGCAAATAAGACCTTATATTTCGGAATCCCTCTGTTTGGGTCACTCCTAAATAGTAATTAGACCGTTATAACTATATAATGCTGTCTGAGAAACAAATTAAATTTCATAAATAAGGATATATTTGATAAGCCTGTTGGAAGGAAGTAATTCATTTAACAGCTCTGATCGTGGTTATCTTCGCGTGTTTGCAAAAAATAACCCCATATTTGGTGATCATTTTTCACTACCAGGTTTCTATAGAAAGTAAAAATAATGGAAATGAGGTTCGGGATTATTTTATCGATCTTTCATGAAGAGTGACGAAAACTGTTGAGGTCCGTTCAGAGAAGGATACTAACTGTGTCAAGACTCCAAACCCGCGGAACAAACAATGAGATCTGGAGTGGGCTCTCTCATAATCTTTAATCTCCCTAGGATCAGTGTATTAGAACATTTTAAACAGCGGCAACGAGGGGCATCTCAATATATCAAGTCGTTGTATTATACCCGAAAGACTATAGTGCTTGTATGAATTCGGGAGTACTTATAATGTCTTAACAAACTGGTGTCAACCATTTCTTCAGCCAGACAAAGATCTGTGTGAAATGATACCCGCGAAAAAACACCCTACACAAAAAATCAACATGGACGGAAACTCAAGTAATTACATAACTGTGAAACATTTCACAAGCACACTGGCGTTTAGCTTCCCCTCATCAATACACGTCAGTTTGGAGAATTACCAGCGGTCACCATAAGTGATTTAAGTTTGCTACGTTACAAAAGACAATATAGGAGGACAATCATGCAGTCATTGAATCAAAGCGAGCTCCCTTATTCAAGCTCCTAGCAGTAATATCACTTCTGATCGACTCGTGAGTGACCATAGAATAAAACTAAAAGAAACTATCTGCTCCAACCACATAGGTCAGACGGCTGGACCAACTAATTCTTCTATTGATGCTAGAACGCAAATACAATGGAACCTATTTAAATTCGTATGACTCTTTAAATAGATGCAAGCTTCTTCCCAAACTCTGAAGCATGACATACCCGCACAACTACAGTCATCATCAGTACACTACTTTTGGCTTATTTATAAACAGTGCAAAAGATTAGCACGTACAACAATTGTACAACCGTTGTATACAGAAAGCAAGAATTTATTCCAGATGCTAACTCCAGACAGACTTAAATGTTTTAAAAAATGCTGGTGCTTATTACCCGACCAAGCGTATTAACATGCACAATGGGTATACTAATGTAAATAGGTACAGTATAGAGGAAGAGTCAGTGCCTGTAGTCCGATCTCACAAGGATCTTGGGGTGAACCATGATCTCAAGACCACGGCCCATTGTCACATGGTTGCGGTCGGGGGTTTAGAACCCAATGAGCTTAAAGCGGATATTAACCAAGTTAGATACTATTATATTCACTACAGTATGCACGACTTCGGTGAAGATCCGAACGTGGTAACTTTGTTCGGTCTAATGACCTCTGTTTAGGTGATCTGGATATCTGAAAAAAGTACAGAGACAACTGTCCAAGCGATTCCAGAGCTCCACAACCACACAAAGAGCAGGTTGAGAAGCCAGGCTTTCTTGATCTGTCACACATCAGATTAAAAAGTGATCTGATTTTGATGTACAGAATACTTAGAAATGATTTTGAACATGACATATCGACTCTTTATCTCTCCAATAAATCTAGACGACCCATTGGGTGCATCAAGTGAGTACAGAAGCCAAGAAAGGACAAAATATCCGTTGCATGAGATTTAACCTTAAGTAATCGATTCTTGGAAATTGTATGTCGAAGCGGTCTATTTCAGTAAAACGATACTTCACGTAACTTCTCCATTTCCGCCTAAAAAGCCGCGATTGGTTTTAAATACAGTTTCATTACACTAAATTTTTTTTCGAAATAAACGCCGCGGTACAATTTTAATCAAATATTAGTCAGTTTTATTCAAAATCAAATAGCAGAACTAAAGGCGACTTGATTATAGTCTTCAAATTGCTTAGTGATAAATTTGCACCTGATATGCCCTCATTTTTCTTGTCTTCCAAAACAGAATTTACGAAGACACTCCAAAAAAGTTCACAATCCCGGAACAAATTACTTGTCAGCTGACTATCGACTTCCCCACCGAATCTTCAACGAGTGGAATTCATTACCTCAGTACGTGGTTGAGGCTCCATCCATCGACTCTTTCAAAAGAAAGTTGGATCAACTAAGAGACCACCGTTGCCAGGACTAACACAGGCCATCGAGCCTCCTGTACTTCCCAAAATGAAACCGAAAATGTATTGGTTCATTATTTAGGGATATCCTCATAGGTTTTACGCGTTAAAATACTCTTCCTTGGTTCGTTAACTTCCTATAAAAAGATAATAAAGTGGAATGGTTAAACAAAAATTCGGAGTCAATGGTCGTGTAACCGTGATACGATTAGTTGCTATCCTAAATCGCCATGCCATTTGTTCTCGAATTTATGTATATTAACGCTGATTTTAGGTTTGTCCGTAGAGGCAAAATACTTGTACCTGTACACTATTACTTCAGTAACTTTCATCTATCTACTAGTCAGAGTTTATGTCACTCTGGTAGGCTGACATGTGTAGTTGTCGCTAATAATTCAACAATCTATAGCACCTCTGCTACAATTAGGTTTACTTAAGGTTGATCTTGCCAAGCCCTTTAACTAACATACTTAGCGAACGGTGCTATTCGAACAGTGGCAATCTCTCTATTTTCCCGTCATTATTACTATTTTGTCTGTATGACCATATGTGTTAGGCCATATGTTACAGCCTACTCATATATTCCTCACTCTACCTCAGATGTTAGTCGCTTAAATGTCGCTCGATGAATCATTCACTTTCTCATATATACATGATCGAATCTTCTAATTGGTTTACTTCGTTCCTATTTCACTCGTAATCCACCTCTGTATTCAATTACTCGCACGCATTAGCCTCTGCCGAAATTCGCTTGATGCGCTTGTAACTTTGTTGTCCGTGCTGCCCAATAATAAACTGCGATCGATGCTTCGTATCGCCTTCTGAGTTCTTAACTCGTTGGAATTTAATCACTAACCGTTATCAGGGCAATTAATAAGCGAGTCCTTAGGAATTATCTGGAAACCAAGTCGCTTCAAATTATCAACTATGTAGGTTTTAGTAGCTAAAGAAAACCCGAAGTTCATCAAATCTAAAAACGAAGATATGGTAATCTGAATAGTTTTTGTTTACTTTTCAACTTTTGTAATTCAGTAGGCTTAACATTCTTTGTTAATGTGGGATTTAATATGCTTCCTGAGATATGAATTGTGGATAACACTGTCGTATTCTCAGTTACAGTACCATTAAAATTTCTCTACATTGAATCAAACGGAATTCGTTTGTTTTTGTCAGTTCCTGGCAAAGTACTTTAGTCACAGTTAAAGGTAGTTACACGATTATGGGAAATTGTTATTTTCCAATAAATACATATATATGCGTAAAGGTTGACTGTTTTAATGCTTCATTGTTGGTAATATTAACTTCACTATGGTCCTCTTCAGTTTCATTTTGCTCTTTCAGGATTCCCTATGCCGATGTCAACATGTCATGTCGGATCGGTAGTTACACCATTGGCTGTCTTAAATCGACTACCAGGCTGGCTCGGCACGTTGGTTATCAGCCCTGATGGATCAGTTCTGCAGTCAGCTGGTGAATTAGTGAATAACAAGGAATTGGCTCAACATTTCGCTGCGATCGCCAACAGAGTTGGCCGTTTATTAAATATGGAAGGTGAAAGAAAAACTCAACAATTCAAAAGATTAACTAGTGAGATATGCTTTTTTGTCTCTTGTTGTTTCTCCACATTGCCTGCTACATTGATATCTTTTATGATCTAATCAAAGTATATCAATTTGAAAGTTTCCCCTTCCATGTTTTCCTCAATTCGGTTGTTTTGAATGAGATAGGATAAAAAAAAGCTGCTAGTTGATGTTATAAATCACACAATGACTTAACAAATTAATGTTCTTTACCTCGCTGAGATGTAGTAGAAATGTTTTCGTAAGAATAAGCAACATCTGCGTTGAAGTATTACTCCTAATGAAAGAATGAACTAAGATTGGTTGACTTTAAAAATATTAACTTTGCACTCTCGCGTTTTGAAGCCTGCTTTAAGGCTTTTGAAGTTCCAAACTCTGCTAGCCTGTTTCATATGTTAAAGGCTACTATCTTGAAGCAATTCTTCATCGGACTATGTTGGCAGGAGATCTAGTCGGGTCGACAAGCGATACTGAACCACTTCTCATATAAATTTCGAAAGAGATAAATCCATCAACAGACGAATCTAATGGATTAAATACTGCTACGTAGAGTAATTAGTCGGTGTTTGGAATTTATTCATAGTTCCTTCTTATCCCCATTGGTTGCTAGTTATAGTTTGTTAGACAAACCAAGCGTTGGTAGTATTTGTTCCAGACAGTCGCTTGTAGTTCTACCCAACAATATGAAATTATAAAGATCGGAATTAAAAGAGCCGGAAATATAATGTCAGCAGTAGCAAAGAATCAACCATAGGAAATGTGTTTCGAAAATTATAAATAAAACAAGCAATGAAGAATGTGTAGTAATCTAGGGGAAATGACAAATCAATGTTTCGGTACCACTGCAGCTAAATTAAGTTGTGTGACCTAGGGCCTCTAACCGCAGATCACTATTATCTCGCGGATCACAACCAGAAAATTTCTATTTCAACACGGAGCAATAAAACAATTGCTAACTTTATTGACTAACCTCAACGTGGTCGGAGTCCTCATAGTCTTTTCCTAATGTAATTATATCCTAATTAATATTCCACATCTGGGTTCGACAGCGACTAGGCATGTGTAAGACACTGTTATGTACATGTGTATTCGTTTTGTTGTGGTGGGAACTTTACATGGTATCGCTGCAGATAGCCTAAGGTGTCAACCTTCAAACAGTTAATTATGTTTCTAATTTTTTCCATATCATAGCAGTGATCAAAGATATGTTGTGTAATCCTTTTCTTAGTTCCGTTAGGTTTGTAGTTGTGTAATTATCAAAGATCAAATTTAGCTATGGATTGTAAGGCGTTTAAACATCTTAAATTAGCTTTCTTTAAGATAGGTAGTCCATTTTTCGGGGACCCGGATAATCAATAATTGAAGCTAATATGGCAGAACTGTATCCAATTTCGGTACATTAATCAAGGTTTGAATCAACCATGTAGTTGTGAGTGCTGATTCGTTTTGTTTCTGAACCCTTGTCCTAAATGAGTCAGCTGAAGTTTACAAGTCCATACCTTTTGACTTCCTGCCACTATCGCATTTGCGTTTCGGTCTCCTAACTTGTATTCTTCAATGAGGCGTCTGGCTTTCATGTTAATGAACAATATATCCTAACCAAAAATTTAATTTCAATGCTTCAAGGAAACCTTGCATTTAGTCACACAAAACCCTGTATATGAGTTATCGTACTTGATGTTACCGATAAACGCGATTCATTGTAAGTTGATTGCATATTTCAAATAGTGTTCTACAAAAGCTTAATGTTCATGATTTCAGAAAATCCTAATGTTGGTAACCTTTAATATCTATTTTTCTCAACTACTCGTTGAGATTTGGTAGCATATCTTCAAAACCAACTTACTAGTATTAAACGGTTATTCAACAATTTAAAAAGTATCATTTCCACCAAACCACTTGCAAAAATATTCCCTCGTATTGATATCTGCAATTCAAAACAGAATTTAACCAAATAAATAGTAATGATAAATTTTCTCTTGTGTTTTCTTCCTTTCATTAATCTATTTATAGTACATTTCGAGCATTCAATATATATTATGACATGTGTTGGTGATACCATCTATGTAGTAAAACGTCTACCCGATAATCAGAATATTTCATACGCAGAGACATATCAACAATTACATCTTGTCAAATCGGATAATAGTATGACTAGTAATAACAATCCTATTGATGTACATCATTCTGCTACTGTTATTAATAATACTAACAATATAGTTACAATAGATAATCACGGACCTCATTTTTTTGAAGCACGTGCTCCAGATGATTATTGAAAATGAATATAATATCATATTCCCTTTACTTAATAATCCATCCCCTTTACTTCTGTTTATCGTAACAATAAATATGATTTAATGGTTGCCATTAATAATGTAGCGAAATAATTATCTTTTGTGTAAATAATGTTGCTTCTTTTGTATCTGCTTATTTTTTCATTGTGAAATTTAAGAATATACTAGTCTTTTGATAATCAGCCTTTTTTTATTCATCATATCGACAAGATTAAAACTGTGATATATTGTAACATTTTAAAGTTCAGGACATTCATTTCATTCTATTCGAATCTCGTAAACTAGTGTGTTTAGTAATAAATATATTTTTTAATTCACTTGCTATTGTTTTATTTGAATCTTCCCATTGATGTTTAGGACTGCAATTGATCAGTCTCTTATTGGCATTTGTGCATACTGTGCTTATTGCCTCTATATTGCCTTAATTTACAAACATTATAAGCAAAGATGGATAGTGGCTAGCACTGAAATCCAGTTTGACGCGCGTTTCGTCCTATTTGGGACTCGTTAGCTGGATGTACCTGCATCTGAGAGTTGATGTTCACTCTAGGACTCGAACCGAGTGCTGTTCGCTTCAAATGCAAGTAGCTATCAGGACTCAGTAGCTAAGTGGATAACGCGATGGCGTAATGTAACTATCCATCATATCTAAGGTTCTCCTCGAATGTGTACTTAATAAACGGATCACATTGTTTAACAACAACAACAAAATTAACTGAATACTCAATGATTTACTTATTAGTAGTATTAAGATGTAATTACACTGTGTCACTAGAAATATTCCATCAGTAATGTTGTCCCACACATTGTTTCGACAAAGGGTTTGGGTTTTTCCAATCATGACGCACAAAGGGTGATCTTACTACTGTTGATGACTTATAACCAATGAAGATCATGTAGGTCTCAGATTGATACAATTTCTCTGAAATCAAACATGTCGTAGTACTAAAACGAATTACCAAGAAAAATCAATCACATAGTGTAGATTAACAATACTTTGAAGCAGACTATCAGAAAACTGGATGTTACTCATGTAGTGAACGAATAAGAATAGCATTTAGTGGAAAAAACTTGTAGGAAAGTAACTAAAATGAAATTCTCATCTTTTATGAACTACTTATTGGAAAACTAAAACATTAGCGTTATTAACTTCTATTCTAAATAATATCTGATAAAGTCTCAATGTTTAGAGTTGCATGATCCATAAGAGCTCATCCAGTGATATGTTGTGGACCAACAGAACTTAGTATCAAACCAATATCTTTCGTTTTGCAATTTAAAATATATTTATTTACGTTTTATACTTACTTCCAAAATCAGTAAATAATTCGTTATACGCGAGTATCAGAGTTAGCGTCCTTTAAATGTATTCAAGAAATCAAATTCAATGTATGAAGATGACTAACATTATTGAAAGACTGACATTTTCATGGTGTTTTACTACCAGAATATGGAAGTTAATCCTTATCACGAATTGAAATCATTTCGGTAACAACCAGTTGTGATTTATGATGAAAGTAATCTCCCTTCAGAATTTCTTTTTGTCGGCTATTAAGTTTTTCAGCGCAACCATCTAGTTTGAGAATCTACTTTTTAATGTTTTGTCATTTGAATTAAACGTTTGTCGTTGCTAATACTCATGGGTACATTTCACCGGTGACATTTTCTAACTTTATATTTAAACTACTTATAAGTAATGTACTTGGATATGAAATATTTTACTAAACTATTAAAATGATAAATTCACTTGTTGTTTTGCTTGTATCTTCCCATTGTTATTTAAGACTGCAGTTGATCAGTTTCATGTTGGCATATGTGCATCCTGTACGGATTGCTTCGACATAACCTTAATTCACAAGCTTTTTAAGCAAAGATGGATAATGGCTAGCAGCGCCCTGGATTCCACTGCTAGCCACTATCCATCTTGGCTTATTCCAACGATAGTAAATAACAAGCACATAGATGTTCATATAAAGTTATTTCCCATGTCATGAAATAGTGTATTGAATGTTTATTTAAATGTTTACGATAGTAATTGTAGTATTATTTTCTTGTAAAGGAGCTGCACCAAAATAATGAACTAGAACTATGGTAGATTTAAGGTATATTAAAGAATATCTTGTAAAATCGATTACACATTCCAATGATAACTCCAAATCAGAAATTTCTCTTAGCATCATTGTTCCCATTGATCCAGAATACGTTATGATGGATAATCCGTTGATATAGACGACTGCAGTAATTCCTGTAGAACTTCTAATGTAGATCGCTGTAGTTATACGTTTATAGAGTTCTCATTTAGTCAATACAACCGTGATCATTTAAACCGACTACGTTTTTCATGTATCTCAGACTAAGCACTGTATTATCTGGGGACAGGATGCTTCAAGTTAAATATTTAAACCTTTAGACGTGATGTCAAAACAAAAATCACGTAGAAAGATGGATTTTTAGTATAAGTGGACATGAGTAAAGTGCTGTCCTGTTTGATATCTTTAAGAATTGTGAAATTGATTACAACCATCATGTGACTATCTCACGTAAAAATGGTCTCAGACTTTAGATCGTTGCTTTACTGACAGTCAGGATGAATCAATTAGCATTTTATGACGTAATTTCGAAGTTTTTATTTCAACCATGGTACGGTAGAGAGTGGGGAGAGTCAGCTCTACCTCTCCAAATGCTCTCACATGGACACGTGTATACAGCCACTGCCAAGAAAGTCCTACTCACTACCTTCTCGCAGCATTGCTGTTGTTTACCAAATTGAGAGGATGAAAAGCGAATAGCCGAGCTTTAACCGGGTTGTTTGATATGGAAGATCCACTTAGGGGAGTTTGAAAACACTGATTCCAAACTAATGGTGTATATGGGCTCCAGTATCCTGAAAGAATAAATGGCACATGAACTAATCGTTGTTCACTGGCTATCATGGGATTGGATCTCCTTACGTTGCTCCAATGCCTTGTGGATTAGATCTTTAGGTCGGAGGCTTCGTGTGCAGCCCCCTAAGAAAACCACCTGTTTCGGTTTGGGCACCCAGGCAGTATCATACCCCACACACAAATGAAGTGACTTATGTAGCGCATATGTATTCGTACCCCTTGGTATCAATTTTTATGTATTCAAATAAATAAATATAGCACATTCAGTTTCGATTACACTACTTTTTATTTAAACACAATCTGACTGTTTTCCGTCCAATAAAATCAGAGATCTTTAAATATATGTTTTCTAGTTATTTCTTTAATTCACATTTTAAAATACCTAGAATTTATTTTCAATTAGATTTACTACTTAAATTACAGTACATAGTAGTTAAAATACTGTAATGAAATAAAATTTTACAGCTGGTTTTAATGGGCTACTTGGATTTGCGTCTGAATTTAAGATTACTAGGACTGCTGACAATACATCTGATGTAAATTAAACTGTATAAGTATAAATACATGGAGATTGTATATGACATAAAATATTTTTACAATCTTCGTGTTTACTGAAATGGAATTATCCGTTAACTTAAGTCATGTCATAATTCCGTAAATCATTTGCGAAATGTTGAAAACACTATGATTTACTTATTACTCACCGTTTGTTTCAAACGCAATCGCATTATCCATTTAGATACTGGGTCCTGATAGTCATTTACTTATGTAATGAGGTGAACGGTACTTAGTTCGAGTCCCAGGTTAAATATAACCTTTAAGATGAAAGCACAAATTCAGCTGACGTGTCCCAAACAGGAAGAAATGCTTGTCCTGGATTCCATTACTAGCCATTATTTATCTTTATTTTACTCAAAAGTTATATAATCCAAAGATATTGATATTTCAAGCAGAAAGTCTCATAAATATAATAACCTGCCTAAAATATTATTTAGTATTTTCTAATGTTTTTGACTAGTAATATTACTCCATCATTATCTACCTTGTTTTATTCTGTAAATGAGTTTTAAATGTATCACCTAATTAGATAAATAATAGATGAGCAGTTAGTTATGGAACTCTTAGGCTTTATTAATCTTAATAAATTTACTTTTATTTTAAATATAAGTTTACGTTATCAACTTTGTGTTTCATTATTTGTATAAGGAATATTGTTATTAATCAGTTACTCAAACTGAAGCTGTTGAATCACTAATCTACTTACTATTTTATATTCACTCTTAGAGATAAATAGTATTATTGTATGTTGTACTCTACGGTTGCGAAACATGGTTATTAAGAGTAAGCTACTAGTAATTGACCACAGATGCCTTAGAAATATTGCTCGCATCTTCTGGGAGCACCGGGTAAGTAATAATTAGGTTAGACGAATGGTATTAGGAAATGATGGTAAGTCAGTTGATAAGGTTGTGAATCTTCATCGGCTGAGATGGTTGAGCCACGTGTTGTCTGAACACCGATTACCACGACGTGCAATGCTAACCGGTGTTCGGGATGGTTTGAAGAAAGTTAGGGGCGGCCAAACCAAAGCGTGCTTGAAGTCACTAACTTCTAGTCTGAGCCATGTTGGTAGATGCAGACTACTTGGTTGGGGTCCGCGTGACTATCGTAACTAATGGTTGGAGACTCTGTGTGACATGGCTCAGAATCGATCACAATGGCGTCGGTGTATACACTCTCTATCTTCCCTTAAACTAAGAGATTAAAATCACTTCATATCTTTCTTTCTACGTACTAAATCTTTCTTCCTGTACTATATCCCTATATACAATCTTTCTTTTATATATTACTACCATTGACCTAACTACTATGAATCCGGTGTTCATCCTGTAATGTATTTAATTAACTAGATTTAAATAAATATGCTTAGTTTAATCTCTTTTATCCGGCTATTTTGAATTTACCAGATTCACTCTTTCTCTTATTCCCAACTCGTATACAAGCACTATTCTCAACATCATGTACGATAGCATGGCGAATGTATGCTGCCTGTTTTTTTTTCAACATCAAACTTGTAGTTCACGGTTATGTATTTCT